ACATTTAATCAGTTATTTTGATTTGACGTCTCACACATATGTAGGAGTAGTATTTTAAATAACCTTTTCAGATCATTGTGGATGGTCCTCTTTAATGCTAAACTAAAACTACACACGTGGTAGTTTGTAACAGTTATTTGTATAGTGGACCTGAGATAGTATCACTGAATATTTCCTGTTACGTTAGAATCCAGAGCCTGTTTTGCACGCTGAATGTCTCTGTACTAATGTAAAATTTTAAAAAAAGTAATACATTGTTTCACTACATTATACAGATCTTCCAATGTCATTCATTCTTTCAAGTAAAAACAGTATTCCATAAAAAAAGAGGGTAGTTCAGTTGACACAAATTATTTCACATGGGACACAGTACTTTGAAATGTAGCAGAAGTGCTTTATGTGTACGTCCCATGTCATCATAGAAGATATTAAGGATGAAGACTTAGGAATGATAATTTTAATGCTTCAACCAGGACGTTTTAAAGCAAACCTATTTTTTTCCTACAAGAAACTTGTGAAAATAATTACTACTGCAGTTTGCTTCCATAGTCTCCAGTACTTCGAAGCTGTATTGTACCGCAAAGTCGATGTCAACATAGTGAGGAGGCAAATAGTATCTTAGTAATGCTCTGAAAGTAATTTTGACTGGGCATCTGATTGAATCTCAAACATAGGGAGGGCACACTAGAGCGAGGATACAGTTGTAACTGGACAGAAGCAGTGGTCGCTGTGTTAGCACAGCGAGAGGTTTGGTACACTGAGAGGGACACAGTGCCACCTTGTTTGGTCTGTCCTTAGACAGAATATGTCATGGTCTTGTCTTGTCTTCCTGTATCGTGGTCTCAAGTGTCCCTGTCTGATGTTGATGTTCTGTGAGATGACTTATGTCCACTGCTGGATAACCTGGCTGAGTGGGGAGCATCAGCTCCGCTTCCTACAACACTGAGGTCAATGTAAGTTTCAGACTAGTTCCTGTTGTGAGAGGCTGCTTTGTCCTTTTTGAATTCAATATTTTAAAAGAACTACATCAAAAAAAAATTAGAGAATGATTTAGAAAAGAAGAAATGCTAGACAAACATATTAGTAATAAATGTAAACAAAAATGAAAATGTGGAATAAGAAATGGGTATGAATTAAAATCTATCATCTTGGCAAAGATGTAAGTGAATGAGGGGAGGACTGACAGGAATTGAGGGAGAACAGACTGTTGTAAAGACTGATGGGATTGAAAACTGGTACAGAAATCTTACAGGTCACTTTTGCCAAATGTCTCAATAGTTTCAATATGTTAACACTGAAATATAGACATTTTTCCTTTACAAATGTATCCTAAGAAGATAATCACACATATTCTCCAAAATAGATATTCAGGGATGCACCTTGAATTGTGGTTTATAGAAGCAAAGAGTGGAAGCACTCTAAATGTTACAATCACTGTAATGATGGTCACTATGAACAGAGGAGCTCTGACTATGTCTCAGGCAGTCATTCCATGTGATTTACATACAGGGTCAAATTTATGACTCAGAGCAAACCCGTGAGGTGCCCACCATGTGATCACTTTGAACAGACAGGGAAAGGAGACTCAGAGAGGTTAAGGAGCGTCTATTTGCATCAGGATCTGGAGACACCGGAGGAGAGCAACAGTTAGGCGCCTAGTGATGGGAGACAGGCTCTGCTGTGCGGGAGAGGGACAGAAATGACTGAGACAGATGCACATCACGACTGTGCTAAGTGCCGTGAGGAAGAGCTGATGATGCCATGAGAGCAGGTAACAGGAGTCCTGACAGGTCCCCTGCCGCTGTTATCAATAATATCTGAAAGACAGAAAGGATAAATGGAATATGAAATAAAAATAGAATTCTATATAATTCTATACAAGTATAGAATGAAAAAAACTCTTGGGATTAAAAATATGATCATAGAAATGAATAATTTCAGAGATGAATTGGAAGATTACACTCATGCTCCCAGCAAGTAGACAGAAAAGTAATGACAAGGAGGAGAGAGGACCTGTGAGAATATGTCTGTTAGTCACGACTTTCCAACAAGTTACAATTACAAGTTGCC